GGGTCCTTCAGCCGCGAGGCGGATCGCCAGTGCGAGGCATGCGATGCCTCCTGCCACACATGTGAGGGCCCCACGGAGGCCCAGTGCCTATCCTGTGCCGGGAAAACGGGCGCCCTTCTGGATGGGCACTGTCTCTCCAGCTGCCCACTGGTCGGGTTCTGGCTGGACGAGTCGGATCCCCTGCACCGGGTATGCCGCCCCTGCGGCGAAGGCTGCGACCGGTGCTCCGACGCCACTTCCTGCCTCACGTGCAAGCCCGGCCTGGTGCTGCTGCACTCGGGGCCCGGCGGCGCCTCCTGTGTCTCCGACTGCCCGGGCGGCTTCTTTGCCAGCCTGCTGGATGGCCAGAGCCAGGCCGCGTGCGCAGCCTGTGCCCCCGACTGTCTCACATGCACTGGGCCAGAAAGGCGCGATTGCCAGGTGTACGCCTGTGAGACGGACGGGACATGCGGGCCCCCGCGCAACCGCTCTCTGGTCATTGGCCTGGCGGTTGGCCTCTCACTGCTGCTGCTCATCCTGCTGCTCATCCTGCTGGTTCTTCTCTGGGCCCTTCGCCGTCGACGCCGGGTCCCGAAGGAGGAGGCCGACACTGATATGACCGTTCTGAATACGGTGATGGGTATGTCTCTTGGCGCACATTCACCTGACCACTTGTCCAGCACGCTGACATTCCCCCATGCAGATCTCTCGCTTCCCGGGTTCCTGCTGCTGTCGTTCCAGGAGGACCTTCGGGTGACCGGCGACGCGGCGTCCAGCGGCACGCAGGGGGGCATCTTCCCGGCCGAGCCCCTGAAGCCGGAGCTCATTACGGCCGCGGGAGACAGCAGCATCGTCGTGAAGCTGCTCAGCGGTATGTGCCCCCCGGGATGCTCACCTGGGGTGAGGGCCCAGTTTTACACGCTCCCCCATCTCACCTCCCTCCCATGCATCACAGCCGAGCCCAGCCCCTCCCTTGCCGAGGCCCATGTGCAGGCCATGTTCGAGAACGAGCTGTCCATCCTGTGGGCCCTGCAGCAGTCGCCGAATGTGGTGCGCATGCTGGGCTACACCCAGGCCCCCCGGGCCATTGTCATGGTGCGCGAGGCCACCGACCTGGACAGCCTGCTCGGGTCGGACAGCCCGCTCGATGCGGCCAACGCCCTGGCCCTGGTCCGGGGCATGGCCCTGGGCCTGGGGTTCATCCATGCGCAGGGCATCGCCCACCGGGACATCAAGTCGGCGAATGTCCTGGTCGGGCCGTGCCCCGAGACCGGGGCCATGCGCCCGGCGTTCGCGGACTTCGGCGTGGCCATGGCCGTCAGCCGGGGCTCGGCCCTGCTGGACTCGGCCATGGTGCTCGCGTGCAGTGTTTCCTTCGCGGCGCCCGAGGTCCTGGCGTCGATGGACGCCGGCGGGCTGGGCGCCGCGCCGATTGACCACCTGGCGGCCGATGTCTACTCGCTGGCGTCGGTCTTCTGGCACATTTTGACCCAGACCCGGCCCTGGAGCGGTACGCCCTGTTGCTGCTGCGGAATGGTGTTGGAGCATTTTTCTTCGGGTTTCTTTTTTCGCACGCGCCAACCCACCGCGACTCACATGTGCTCCCCCACCATGCCAGGCTTGAGCAAGGACCGGATCCAGGATTTGCTTGGATCCGGAAGGACTCCGGCCTCGCACGGCCCGGCGGCTCGCGAGGATCTCCTCCAGGAGCCGGCGCTGGGCAGCCTCGCGTCCGGCCTCCTGGCGGACATGTGGGCCACGGACCCCGGGCGTCGCCCAGGCATTTCTTCTGTCGCCATGTCCCTTTCCGAGTAGGCCCCCCCCCCATGCTCGACCCGGCATTCCAACACAATATACAGAGTGGACTCTTCACGCCAATGTCGGCCGTGCTCTGGCGAGGGCCGGAGTGTCATCTTCCGCAGGGGCTCCGGCCCGCCTGAGCGTCTCGCCGACGACACACACACACACACACACGACTATGCATGATCGACGGGAGGGCAGTGCGATCGGTCAGGGGAAGAGCAGGCCACACTCTCTCCGGCCACACAGTCCGCGGGACACGGGACACATGGCCCGCCGCGTGGCGTGGGGAGCAATGTGCGGCGGGTCTCGCTCTCAGCGGGCGGCGGCGGCCCGGCCCGCGCTGGAAATGGGCAGCCAGCAGCCCCGGGAAGCACGCGGCACTCCCGTCAGTGGGCGTCCCACAGTCCTGGCTGCCAGGAGCTGCTCGCCCCCGGGCAGGGGACGGGGGGGGGTCCAATGGCCCCGACGCGGGCCATGTGGCTGGAAGGGCGGTCACCGTGCCCCAGCCAGCCGGGGCAGGTATGCGGAGATGTCTGACACCCAAACAGTGCCTTGCCATTTGCCGCAGTCTGCCGACAAGTGCCACATGGCACCGGTGGGAGCCTGGCCTTCGGATGGCATCGCCTGCAGGCAGGTGCTCTCTCGAGCGGAGAGGCACGCTCGGCCCGGGGAAAAAAAGGGCCTCCCTGCCAGTTTCGGTTCCTCCGACAGGCCAGCCAGCGCAGCGCGGCACAGCCCGTCCAGGAGGGGCACCAAGCCGCCCTCCGGGACCGGGGCCACCAAAGGGGGACCCGTGTTCGCCGGTGCCAGTACATGGCCAACCCCGGTGTGTGTGCGCATGGGGATCCACTTTCACGCTGCCACAGGCCGGGGCCAGTCGGGAGGAAGGACCCGGACCATGAGCGCCCTCATCGGAGAGCCGGCCCCGTGGCGGGTGCCCGCACGCGAGTCGCTCGCCCCCCCCCCCCCCTCCCCCCGGCATGTTTTGGTGCCCTGAAAGCTAGGCGGCCCCTGCGGCAGGGCTGCCGGTGGCCAGGTGTCACTGGCCCCGCGCTCGGCCGGACATGTGGAATTCTGCCCGGTGGCCTGTTTTCCGGGGCCCCACATGTCGGAACGCCCCCATACCCCCTCCTCCTTCTCCTGGCAAGCCTGTGTGGGTCGCCCCCCCCCCCCCCCCCCCCCCCCCCCCCCCCCCCCCCCCCCCCCCCCCCCCCCCCCCCCCCCCCCCCCCCCCCCCCCCGGAACTACCCTCCTTTCCGGCATGCCTCCTCCTGGCGGCGAGGCACCGACGCTGGGTCGGGGTCAAGGGGCCTATTCGGCTTGCCTCGCTCACAAAGGCAGCTGCCCCCCTCTCCCCCCTCGGCCCTCTACTGTGGGACGTCGACCGGTGTGCGTGTGCCGCGCCCGGCAGGGGTCTTCGCCTTCCTGCTTGTCGGCGGGCAGGAGGAAGGCGCCCGGAAGGGGCTGCCCCTTCCGCCGCAAGACGCGGGGCGGGGGCTGAGCCCCGGCAGGGGCATGCTGAGCTAGATTCACCGCCGTGCCCGTTGGCCCCTGAAATGCCGATCCCCAGGCGTGCTTTCTCCCCATCAGGGCAGCCCGCCGCCGGTGGGTCATTCGGCGGCTCTGGGCTTTTGTCCCTTTTGGCCGGCTGGGATGTTGCCACTTGGCCGGCGCGCGGCGGCGGCGGCGGCGGCGGCGGCTCTGCCCCCCCTCCTCCGGGTCCCAGAGGGGGGTGCCCTTTTCTCCCACCTTCGCATGATCAGCATCGGGGCCCGGCCGACCCGCGGCCCATCCAGCGGCCTGGGGGCGGGAGGCGGCTCGGCCAAGAGCCGCCCCATCGGACACACCGGCCGCGCCAGCAGCAGACACCCTCTCTTTCTCCGCTTTCCCCCCCCCCCCCCCCTGCCTCCCTCCTCCTCCTGCATCATGACCCAGCCCCCTGGCCGGCGGCCCCGGTGGCAGCCGGGGATCCCTTCCCTGCTCCTGGCCACCCTGCTGGCTGTGGCGGCCCTGGTCCTGGCTCCTGTGTCGGGGCTCCACCTGCCGAGCCCCATTGCTCGGGACCGTGCGGCACTGGCCCGCCCGGCCAGGCCCCCGGCGGTCGGTGCCGATGAAATCGCCGCAGCCGCCTGCGACACAAACTGCACCATGTGCAGCTCCAATGTGTGCAGTGCCTGCCAGGCCGGGTACTATCTGCACCATCACGACCCGGCGACGCCCTGTGTCACCCACTGCCCGGCGGAGTATCCCGTCATTCTGATCAGCCCCACCTCCAGGATGTGCTGGCACGAGGAGCAGATCCCGGGCTGTGCCGTGATGGAGGTCGACGAGGGCGATGTGTACCGGTGCCAGGAGTGCAAGCCGGGCTGGTGGCCCTCGGGCGCCACGTGCGCCACCTGCCCGGTCACTTGCGGCACCTGCACCGGCAATGACGCCTGCACCTCCTGCCTCAATGGCTACTACCTGCATGGGGGGTCCTGCGTGGCCTCCTGTCCGGATGGCAAGTTCGCCGATGACTCCAGTGGCGCCTGCACGCCCTGCCAGGCGACCTGCGCCACATGCGGCGCCGCCACCTCCTGCACCTCCTGCCAGCCTGGCCGATTCCTGTACAAGGGTGCCTGCGTGTCCTCCTGCCCGCCGGCGACCTATCTGCAGGCCGGCACCGGCACCTGTGTCGACTGCTCGACCAACTGCCTGGATTGCACCGGTGCAACCGCCTGCACATCCTGCCTTCAGGGCTACCTCCTGCATGAGGGGTCTTGCGTGGGCTCCTGCCCGGATGGCACGTTCGAAAATGACACGAGCACCGCCTGCATTGCCTGTGAAGCGGGCTGTGCTGCCTGCTCCAGCGCCGCGTTTTGCACCTCCTGCAATGATGGATTCTTCCTGGATGGCCACTCCTGCGGGGCGGCCTGTCCGGAGGGCACCTTCGGCAATGTCACCGACAACACGTGTGCCGCGTGCGGCGAGCGCTGTCTCGCCTGCACCGGTGCCACTGCTTGCACGGCCTGCAAGTCGGGGTATCTCCTGCATGAGGGCGCCTGCGTGGCAGCCTGCCCTGCCGGCTTCTTCCCTCGGCAGGGCGTCTGTGTCGTCTGCGGCGATCACTGCCTCGCCTGCACCAGCGCCACCGAATGCACGGCCTGCAGCCCGGGCTCGCCGCTGCACAACGGCGCCTGCCTTCCCGCCTGCGACTCCGGCTTCTTCGACAAGGACAACGTCTGCACCGCCTGCCTGCCGGGCTGCGATGTGTGTACCAATGCCAGCACCTGCGATCGGTGCTCCGCGGGGCTCTTCCACTACCAGAACCAGTGCCTGGAGGCCTGCCCATCTGGGACCTTCGTCGAGGAGGACTCGGCCCCCGATGCCTGCCAGGACTGCCACCCCCTGTGCCAGGAGTGCGCCGGGCCGGGCGCCGACGCGTGCACCGCCTGCGAGGCCCCCCTGACCATTCGCCAGCCGGTCCCCCCGGTCAGCCCGCCGCTCGCCGTGGGCGTCTGCGTGCCGGACTGCGACGA